GGGTGGGGGGCCGGCTTTGTGCAGACGAACGATAGCGGAACGATCAGGAAAAGGCTTCACCATTTCACTATGAATGGACCAAATTTAACCAAATTTTAACAGGAGTTAGAAAAGATGATGGGATTGAAAAACCCATAAAACTGGCGCGCTATGTGCGCTATAGAATGTACGCTAACTGCAGCAAATCTTGTTGCTATAATTATGGCCAACCCTGTAAGCTGAAGGCTCCATTACTGGGGGGCCCGAAATCGTTTCTAATCGTAAGTGCCATTACAAGCTCACAAAGCTCGTCCTATCTTTCCCAGTACTCTAGCCATTTAGCGTTAGAGACGCAGAGCACAGTGAAGCGAACACCTCCAACTACATTTTCAAAATATTTTTAATGTCCGCTATTAAGAGTAACCGTGTTGTTTTAGATTAACACACTCATCACTCCTCTTATGGAAAAGAAGGCGTACATTCGCTTGACGACAGATTACGATGCCTTGGACTGCGCCAATAAGATCGGAATTATATGAATCTTTGTTGTTTTGTTATGAGTGGTTGATAAAGTTGTTATTGATTGTTTTGACGAGTGTTAAAAGTGTTTGCCGATAGTGATATCTGCATTCAAGCTAAATTACCCTGTTTTTAGAAAGAATTTTCCAGATGGACACGTTATTTCAACATGTCTTCGGGCGTTACGCGTGGTTAATGGATTGCTTCATGACCGACTATTTCATTTCGGATCACTGGAATAGGCTTCCACCTTCATGGCAATCAGCATTCAAGGATGCGGAGGTGTGGAGTTTGGTGATCGACTGATAAACAAATGTTGTGGGCAAATATTTGTCCTTAATAGGTAGTTTGAAAGCGTATGAGTCAGGTTGTAGGAAAGTGGGGTGCGGGCTAAAAATAGGGAGCAAGCTTTGCAGCATTTGGTGAAAATGTAGTTGGGGGGTGCCAGCGCCCTTCCGTCTAGTTGCTCTGCGTCTCTGACCCAGGCGGCAGAGTTCCTAGAGACCGCACTGGAGCGCGGATATGGCCTCTTAATAGTGGTAGGGAATGTATTCTTTAACAAGGGGAGGGGCT